TTACTTTTGAAAGAGTTTTATGGCAAGGAAGTGTCAATCACACTGCCCCAATGTATGTTGACTTCATGTTGGTGGAATACAAGTTGTTTGAAATATATATTTTTTTCTATTATCTCAGATATGCCGGTTTCGTCACATTGTTTTCTTTCACTTCTGAGCACAAGAGAAAAACAGCACTTAAATACAATAAACAATGTCATTGGTGCCAGCAGGTGAACCTGAGTTACTAGTATATTGAGGTATTTACACCAATCGCTTAAGTGTATGCAACAAGTGTATAAAATTAAAGATACAGCTTCTTAATTAAAATATTACTTTTTGAATTACTTAATACTAATATGATAATAATTATGTATCTGGGCCACATTTAGTCCATATAAAGAAATTACTATGTTTTCTCTGTGTATAATGAGAAATGGCACTAGTTATAATGAAATGTATCACTACCACTGCTATGTTCCATTTTTCTTAGCCATTTATAGCCATTTTAAAAATTAGGAACCTTTTAAAATTACAAATAATGCCCAGTAATACCAGTTATCAGTAGACTTCCAACAAATATACGACTACTATTAATTATTCAGCCTATTTGGCTACTTTTGTCTTACTCGGCTGAATACCAGTATGTATAATTAATAGTGAAACTGGTAAGGTCAACTCTCGCAATTCAAACTACCAGTTAAGTTTTAACATTAAATTAACTAAATCAGATCAGGACGTTGCAATGGTTTTTGAGAAATATTTTACTGATATTCCGATCTTAACCACTAAGTCACTGAATTCTTCTCCTACCGTCGCCGAATCATTACTTAAACAAAATGTAAATGTGTGTACAAAGAATTTTACATTTCATAAAGTTTCATCAAAAGATATTGTAAAATATTTTAAGACTATTGATATTAAGAGAACCGCCGATCTGTGGGGGATTTCTGTTGAAGTTATTGCGTCTATAATAGATACAATCGCACCTCAACTATCTATTATTTTTAATAGTAGTATCAAATCTGGTGTGTTTCCTGATTTAATGAAGCATAGTAAAGTAATACCTTTATTTAAATCTGGTAGTACATTGGACCCCGCTAATTTTAGACCTATTTCTGTACTGCCAACACTTAGTAAAATTTTTGAAAAAATTATTCTTGATCAATTGTTAATTTTTTTTTAATGTAAATAAATTACTTCATAAAAATCAATTTGGTTTCACAAGGGGTCGCTCGACAACTGATGCTGGTGTTGAGCTGATTAAATATATATTTAATGCATGGGAGAATTCACAGGATGCTTTGGGTTTGTTCTGTGACCTATCCAAGGCCTTTGATTGTGTTCACCATGAAACATTAATCAGGAAACTTCAACACTACGGTGTAAGAAATGATGCTCTTAAATTAATTATTTCATATTTAAGTGACAGAACACAAAAAGTTGTTATTAATAGTATGAGTTCTTCTGGGTCGATTGTACAAATGGGCGTGCCTCAGGGCTCAATTCTTGGCCCCTTTCTGTTTCTTGTATATATTAATGACTTACCTTACATAGTAGGGGATAACCATGATATAGTATTATTTGCTGATGATACTTCATTAATTTTCAAATTAAAAAGACAGTTATTAAATTACGACGAAGTAAATAATGCTATAGCTAAGTTATTCAATTGGTTTAATGTTAATAATTTGCATTTGAATGGAACTAAAACTAAATGTATGAAATTCGTAACTCCTAATGTTAAACATGTCAATACTAATGTAATTTTAAATGGGGAGGAACTGAGTCTTGTTGATACCACCATTTTTCTTGGAATCACACTGGACGCAAAGCTTCAATGGCTCCCCCATATATCAAAACTAGCTAGCAGACTTAGTTCTGCAGCATATGCTGTAAAAAAGATTAGAACCCTTACCAGTGTTGAAACAGCTAGAATAGTTTACTTCAGTTATTTCCATAGCATTATGTCGTATGGTATTTTGCTATGGGGACACGCGACTGACACTGAAATTATATTTATTTTACAGAAGAGGGCCATTAGAGCAATATATAATTTAAAACCAAAAGAGTCACTGAGACAAAAATTTAAAGAAATTAATATATTAACTCTGGCCTCTCAATACATTTATGAAAATGTAATGTACGTACACAAAAATAAAAGTAGTTTTGCGAAAATAAGTGATATTCATTCTGTAAATACTAGGAACAGACACAAGCTGGTAGTACCAGTTACTCGACTCCACCGAGTCAGTAATTCATTCTTGGGGCGATGTATATGCTTTTACAACAAAATCCCAGAAAATATACAAAATTTGTCATACACAAAGTTCAAAAATGTTATTAAACTAAGTTTGTATAAAAAGGGTTATTATAATATTAAGGAATTTATAGATGATAATAACCCCTGGGAAGGGTGATCGCTACCAAGCTATTTCTAATTTGTCTTGTGTTGTTGATTGTACTTTGTAAGCTATTATTGGAAAAAAAATAGTCCCGCTGGGTTTCTTGCTGGTTCTTCCGACACGACGGACAGAGGTTTTTTTTTTGCGAACCAGTGGTAAATTAAAAAAGTGACCTTCAATAAGTATTTTTATAATCTACATTGAATAAATAAGTTTCTATTTCTATTTCTATTTCTATTTATAGGTTACTATTTGGCCAAACGACAAGTACTAAAGTAAGAGGATTTATTGTAGTCAGTATAATTGGTAAAATGAAAATATTTATTTGTTTTATAATTAATTTTTTAACCATTAAAGTAGTCATACTACATATTCCACTTCCATATTATAAAAATTGAAAAAGAACTAACATAAATAAAGTGGAAGATAATGGTGCAGAAAGCCTACTTTTACTACTCTACTACTCTACTTTTTGTAGACAATCCCAGCTTCAGAAAATAGATGCTCTGAAGAATAAACACTACTTCCTTACAGGCCAAATACTTTTGCCTAATATTCGGCTATTCAGCCAGGAAGTTCTCAGGACATTTGGTATTCAGCTTGTGGCCGAAAAGTATTAGTTACATGTCTAGTTATCAGACATTCAGCAAACATATTGAACAAACATAAAAATTAAAAGAAACTCATACAAATATAGTCATAATGCTTTTAGATTGGTTATTGAAAAAAATTAAAATCAGTCCTTCTTAAGAGGAGGAAACAAAATGTTATGAGTTATGATGATTGGTTAAGTTTTTTCACATGTATATAATTAGTCCAAGCTGCATTGCTCTTTTGGTTGCCTAGCTTAGCCATTTAGGTAATCTAACAAGTGTTTTGAAGTTATCAAATATCAAAATAAATATAGTCAATATAAAAATAACCCTTTGATACATTGGACAGTTTTTAAAATTTTCAACTGACATAAAAAAGGAGGAGGTTCTCAATTTGACTGTATTTTTTTTATGTGTGTTACCTAAGAACTTTTTCGTGATGAACCGACTTTGATAATTTTCTTTGATCTTTTTTAATTTTTATTTGAAAGCTGGTGCTTCTAATGTGGTCCCATATAAATTTTATCAAGGTCTGACCAGTAGTCCAAGTTATCCGTAATAATGCATATTTAATTGATTCAAATACATTGATGAGGTTCTCAATTTATTTACCTATATTGAAGTTGGTTGTTCATAATTTTTAATTTTACCATTTATATAATAATTAAGAATATAAAATTACAGTGAATAATTTATGTGGTACTAGCATGTGGGATTATAGCATGGGTTACTTATATAATGTTAAATTACAGCTAATGCATAATACTTATATTAAAGTGGCCCAGTTCTATGGTACATTATTGCAAAAATGTTGTCAATAATATTTGTGTATCACATATTTGAGTATTTGCAACAGCAGTGAAATATATTTCAAATGTATTAAAAATACAACAATGCAAGGATTATGAAACATCATACCTATTGATTTTGTAATTGATACCAGTCAGTGGAATGCAGATTTTTTTTATTATTTCATATAACAAGCAAACATAACTAATAATCAAATTTCACACATATTAAACAGCTTCTAATATATTTATTTTAAATGTGAAAATCTGTAAAACACATATGTGCAAAAATTTATTAGTGAATTTAAAAGAAAAATCATTGTAATGATTAAAAGAAAATGTGATTTAAATACAAATATACATTTTTCAAATGTAAAATATATGTTTTGTTTTATTTTATGCTTAAATATAATTTTACCTTTTCATTGTATCAAGAGAGTTCTAAATTAAGAAATAATACAGCTGATAATTAGGCAACAGTTATTGCAAGTGACCATTGTAACTAAATATTAAAAATAGACTGTTCCTAATAAGTGAATATGAATTACTATATCTTTAAAGCCAGTAAAAAAATGTAAAATCAAAAAAGTAAAAGCATTTCAAAAATAGTACAGCAAGATACAATGTATTTGATAAGATCAAATTGAGAATGTGTCTTTACAAGTAAAGTGAGCAGATTAGAATAGATAATCCCTCACACAAGGTACTTTTCGATATATTATGTCTTAAAATAGATGCAAATTGTAATAATATTGATCAATTCAAATAATTTTAGTGTCATTATGCATTGTTCCAATGCAGAGAATGTAAAAATTTTGCAAGTATCTGTCAAAATTAATACTGATATCGTGCTTGGTGTGGTCATTACAGTTAGTTACTTAGGACAAAAAGTCTCAATAGTTCTTTTTTTATCTAAAGTATCGTAGGTAGGAGTGCACGACACAAAATGGCAACCTGAGTGTATCAACAATATGCGAGTGCAGTCGTCGTTAACTAAACGCGATGCATAGCTAAATATGCACTGAAAAGGTACCTTGACACGTATAATTGTGGTTTTTAACAACAAAACCAAAATGAATATACAAAGAACTAGTAACTTCTGTTGCATCATAGGACATTTCTATGCGTGTACCTTTAGGGTTAGACACAATTAAGTGGTCAATTCACAACAAATATTGACTAATTCTAACAAATACAGTAAAATTCTAATATTCATGACAAAGAAATCCACTTACTGCGGGGGGTTTGATCTTACAAATCCCCGACTTCTCAGCGATTGGCCTTATTTTACTGATGTAAGCCAATGGATCCAGGAACTCTTCAGGAGTTGGCTCGAACACAGGCGCCTCCGGGGGTACAGTGAACGTGAAATTATCAGGTTTCATGGGGGACGCCGAGTCCCCCATACTAACTTCGACATTAGCTTCGTCACATTTTCCCATTTTTGAGAAAAAACCAATGCAGTTCTCACAAATTCAATTATAACTAACAATTAAGCATTATCTAATGTTAAGGAATAAACAGTGCACGTCCGCAAAGAAATAGAAGTAAAAGAATTGTTCTTTCCATAAGGAATCTCGACAAGATAATAATTGAAATTATCACTAACAAACAGAGCCCACTTGCACGTCCGCCATGCGAAATTGAACTTTCGAAACTCCAGTATTGCCATATCGAATAATCAAAATAACGAATAATATGAAAAATATTATTTTCTTTTTGGTAGAATTAAACAGTTATTAAAAATCAAACCTGGCTACATTAACATATTTAAAAAGAAACTTTATTTTTTACCATAAGATGCACGAAAGCTCAAAACTTTTTCTAAGTTTATTTGGGGAACGTTGTTGTTTGAAAAATTAATTTAAAATTAACTTACGAGTATCATACGGCCGTTCTTTAGGATAAGAAGACGAGAGAACAAGTTTAACTGTGGGTAGTACAAAAGGTAGCTTAAGTTATGGTTACAAATAACCATGTAGTTATTAGTTGTATTTCACCATGGTAACTTAAAATTCATATAAATACCGTTGAGAGAAATAATTTATCCACGTGACATTTCGTGACCAAAAATATCACCCTCTCTTGCTTTTAAAAGGCGAATAATCATTTATAAGATTTTTGTCTGTTCGGGCTCATTTTCGAAATGGCTGAATCAATTGCGATAAAACTTAAGAAACAGATAGCGAGCAATTCCCGAAGTGATCTAGGCTATATTTTTATAACTGGTACTAGAATAGCTGTATTTTTGTATATCAAAAACAGATAAATTACAATGGCTTTTATTATTACCTCATAAACTATGCAAAACAACACTTCACACATACCCAACATACAAGTTTCGAACAAAACTTTTTTGGTTTGCAATTTTACTAAATAAATAGATCCTAGCACTATACTTTCTATCTCAGGTTTTGGTGCAAAATGGATTTTAATAAACCGCGCGCAGAAAATTTTCGAACGACGTCATGATGTCACTTGTCGATGGTTAGTACGGTTGACAAAAATAAATGTTACTAAAATAGTGGTAGTAAAAGCAATAAATAATAAGGAAAAATTATTAATAAAAAAACTTTGGAGTTGTTACAAAGATTTATTAAGTGCAAACCTTTTGGTTTTTTCCTTCTCGAAAAACTTTAGAACCTTTAAAATAATAACATGTTTACCACTGCGATAGGCTTTCACTTAACCCATTTTCTTTTTTACTTTTACATCATTTTACGGCAAAAATATAACTGTTAAAGAATAAGTTAACAAGACTTTTTCACGTGAAATTAATAGATTTTCAATTTTAATTTAAAATGTTTCATATAGCAGGTTTTATATATAACAACTTTTTCGATTACAATATCTTCACAGAATACATAATAGTACGTACCGCTTACTTAAAGACCAATAATATAGATCTATATCTTTTTTTTAAATTTATACTACTATATTCATAAAATAAGCTTTATTCTATACCAACCCGTGCTGTAGGTACAGAGCAAGTCGAAAAAGTTTTTTATAAGATTTAATTATAAAATGTTACTTAGCTACTACGACTTGTTTAAACCCTGTGAGCTCAGGGTCCCAAAACGTCCCCATAAAATGAGTGCACAATTTGAAGTTGTGCGCTCATTTCAAATAGTACAGCGTCGCTCGTTTCACAGTAAAAGTAAGTAAAAGAATTTATTGATTTATTTTTGATGTTTTTATAACAAAATTTCCTAAGTGGTCCGATTAAAATAAGGTAAATTCAATGGTCGCTTTGTGAGTGTAAGAAAAAGGCATTACAACCTTCTTTTATTTTAGTCGAATAATTCAAACGACCCTGTTCTTATTAAATAGAGTCGGTTTTTTATTATTATGTTTAATTCTTTAATTAATTAGTTTATTCATCCTCATCATTACAGCCCTTCACAAGTCCACTGCTGTACTTAGGCCTCCCCCAATTAATGCCACAAAGCACGGTCCTGAGCCACCTGCATCCATCGACTACCTGCATGTTATACCAGGTCGTCACTGCATCTAGGTCGCCCTACACTACGTCTACTGGTACGAAGCGGCCACTCGAGAACCTTTCTTCCCCATCGGATATCGGTTCTTTGAGCTATATGGCCGGCCCATTGCCACTTCAGCTTACTAATCCGCTGGGCTATGTCGGTCACTCTGGTTTTACTGCGGATATCCTTATTTCTGAGTCTATCACGCAGAGAAACTCTGAGCATAGCCCTCTCTATAGCTCGCTGAGCGAGCGTCCTTGAGCGCCCTCATACGGCAAGCAGTGCAGGACCACGTCTCAGATCCGTAAGTCATCACTGGCAACACGCACTGGTTGTACACTTTAGTTTTCAGAGATTGAGGTATACCTGACGAGAAGATGTGTCATAATTTCCCGAACGCTGCCCAGCCGAGTTGAATCCGTCGATTGACCTCTCGGTCGAAGTTGGACTTACCTAGTCGGACTATTTGTCCCAGGTAAACGTACTCGTCAACAACTTCGAGCATAGTGCTCCCAACAACTACCGGCATAGGCGTGCCATGGACATTAAACATGATCTTTGTTTTGTCCATGTTCATCTTAAGACCTATCCGTTGGGAGACACCATTGAGGTGATTGATCATAAAGCTAAGGTCCTCCAGCGATTCTGCCATAAGGACTATATCGTCGGCAAATCGAAGGTGAGTGATGTACTCGCCATTGATGTTAATACCGTATCCTTTCCAGTCCAGTACTTGAAAACTCGTGTTATTTCATTAACTTTTATATTTGATATTATATATTTTATATTAGTTCATTAACTTTTATATTTTTTCGTATTTAGTTTTAATTACATAATACTTATATATTATATTCTTTGACGCCTTCTCTGTGTACTATGTAGTCATGAATTGACGGACCAAATCACACGAGTTTTAACCTTCCGGGGGAAAAATAATATTTTTACTGGTATTCCAACCCATATGAACTCCCAATGGCAACACTATACACCTCATTTCGTTGTGAATTTTTCGTGCCGAATCAGCGAGTCACATCTACAAATTAAAAAGTTGAAAATTGATTTTTAAGTAAAAGTTCTTAATTTTATTATTAGCAACATGTGAAAACTTACTAACTTAACACTCATTAACGTTTTGGACGATTGCAATGTATGTAATTTTTGCATTTAAATAACTTGTAGGGTAGATTAAGTATAAAGTGAAATGTGAAAACTATATTTGAAACAGAACGAGCATCTGTAAGTACAAAATTTTTTAATAAACTTAGTATGTATATTGTATTTATGTATTAAATACGTATATTGCATAAGTATTTAAAAAAAACTGTAGGGTAGGTTAACAAAATAGCAATATAAAATCAATGTATAAGACAGAGCAAAAGTCTGTAAATTACATATTATCTGTCTTGCGGTGCCACGATACATTGAATTGATGCGAGACATTGAATTCTACTTTATATGAATATTCATACATTCATATTTACTGCCAAAATATGTATAACATTTTTTTTATTTTTTTTAAAAGAATATTAATAATGCTATAAACATTCCTAATATTCCCCCCTTAACCACTCGTGGTAAGCTTAAATTGCTTGTGTTACGAGTGGTTCACGCCAGTAGTCGAATAGCGGATTCGAACCCACGACATTTTTTGAGTTCGCGGTCCGCGCCCTGCCATTAGGCTACCGTCGCTTCATTACACATAATACATAATTGCTTACATTGTAATAAAAGTTTAATATAATATCCATGTATGAGACAGTACGAGAATCTGTACATCATTCAAAGGAGAATAATTTTGAATTTAAATTAATACTGAAAAATCATATTCAGATTTTAAGTAATCCAACTACAGGGGGTACTTATAAAATGAAAATCTTTATAGTTCATAATGAATGTGATACTATTTTTTGGTCAAAAAACTACATATTCTTAAATAAGATATAACATATTGAACATATTTTAGTTTTTACTTTGGATCATAACGTTTTGTTATAATCCCCATTGCTAAAATTTCTTATAACACTACAGCTATATCATATATAAACCACATGGCTGGCATATAATAACCACGTCAAGTGACATAGCTTGTTAAATTGACCTTGTGAAACATATGTATTTTTTTTTCACCTTATAAATAACATATATGTTATATTATAAATAACATGTATGCTAGTTATAGTTATGAAAGTTCTCTCGTATGCAAAGAATCCAGGAAAACTAATGGCGAAATAAAATGGGAATCAAATTCCTATACCTATAAAAAGATTGTCTATAAGATTTTAACCAAAATCAATAGATAAACTTAAGTTCATGCATTTGCTATTAGATAAAATATAAATGCATAAAATTCATAGGTCGACCTTAAGATTTATGCACTATTCTCCACAATCTTCAAACGAAATACAGAATAAGGAATAACCTTCTACTCTTCATAAGCCGGGTTCGATCACCGCCGGCACCAATGAAATTGTTAATTGTAATTTTAACTGCTGATTTACCACGTGCTCGGCGGTGAAGGAAAACATCGTGAGGAAACCTGCATGTCAGAGAAATAAGAAAACAATATTTCGAAGACATATGAAGTTCGCCAACACGCATTGGGGCAGTGTGGCGGACAAGTCCTTGTCCTAAAACCCTCTCAGAAATGAGCTGAGGCCTGTGCCCAGCAGTGGTATAGGCTGTAACTTTACTTTACTTTACTTCATAAGCCTGTTACTAAATCATTGTTAAAGAAAAACCACTTATTATAATTCTTACCCTGGTCAACAACTATTATGTAAGATCTCCTTTGATCTAAACTTACCTTGCTGTGGCAGTGCTGTCAAAGAGGTATTTATGCATGCAAAGCATAAAAATAAGCCCTTGTCTGTATATACAATATATCAGTTGTCTAAAGTCGTGGTAGATAAAGTAAGAAATTTACTTCTTACTATTACGATTTGGACTCATACTGTGAA